TCCTTTGTTGGGAGGTATTAGCTGGTCCTGATTGCAACATTATATCTGTGGAATAATGTCCAGGGAGGGAGGAAGAACTCTTGTCTGCTTGAGGGAAGGGTGAATGTTGTCCTTGTCCACCTTGATTAGTACTGAATAGCCCTGCAGCTTCAAAGCCTGGCTGCTTCCTGCCTGGGGGAATCCTTTGTTGGGAGGTGTTAGCTGGTCCTGATTGCAACATTATATCTGTGGAATAATGTCCAGGGTGGGAGGAAGAACTCTTGTCTGCTTGAGGGAAGGGTGAATGTTGCCATTGGCCACCTTGATGAGCACTGAATAGCCCTGCAGCTTCAAAGCCTGGCTGCTTCCTGCCTGAGAGGCATTAGCTTCCTCCCACCCTTGACAGACATCATTCCACATGGAGATATATCTACATAACCCTCCCTGGCCTCATTCCCAAGAGTTTCCTCTCAACCTCTGAGGAGGCCTTGAGCCAGAGAAGTGGGCGAAACGTCAGGAGAGAGTGCTGCTTCTGGGACAGATGGGCCAGGCAGGCCGGGAAACCCTCCCCACCCCAAAACAAAGCAGGCCTTCTCCACACAACCCAAGCCAGAGATATATATCGGATTAAAGAGAGAGGTGTAGACACCCGCAGATACAGACCGGATCAGAGGAGAAGGAAGGCGCCCAAGGAGAGAGACTTCTTCCGGGAAAATGGCGGCCGGGCTGGTACAGTGACGTCACCCTCCCCCGCGCTCCTGATTGGCCGCCCTCTGGCGGGGCTCATTTGCATCTTTAAAGGGGACGCCGCGGCCTCGTCCCTCCCTCCCTTTGGGACTCCGTTGTGCGCAGGCGCAGCCAGGCCTCCCCTTCTCTGCCTGTTTCCTTCCCGGTTTCCGCTCCGAGGAAGAGCCTCCGAGCCTCCTTCTGTCTCTGGAGAGTCGGGAGGGAAGGGCAGGAAGAGAGAGAGAGATTGGGAAGGAGGTTGGGGCTGAAGGGGGCGCTTCCCCGACTGGCCACTGGGTGGCAGCAAAGGGCTGCGGATGGGAATCTCCAGGCGAGTGCAATCTTCCCTTGTCCACCAGAGGGCGCCAAAGGGAGGGCCCAGATCAGGCATCTCTCCTTCAGCCACAGCCAGGATCATTAGTAGTAGTGTTTCTCATCATGATAAATAAATAATAATAATACATAACCATTAATAGGAATCTTTAGGAATGATAATAATAATATTGCATGTCTACATTGTGGGATCCTGGGAGGTGTAGTTTAGCATGGACCCATCACTGTCTGGTTCGGACCCTTGTTTTTTTGTTTGTTTGTTTGTTTGTTTTTAAATAAATTACTTATTCTTCGCCCTCCATCCGAGATGCTCCAGGCGATTTACATTGCAGAAATTATACAGGATAAAACACATACATACAAATATTAAAATTAACATGGGTCAAATGCTCTAGTGAAAAGCCAAGTCTTAAGTGCTAGGATAAAATGCCCTAAGTCACGCATGGCTCTCAAATAGGGAGGCCATAAGGAATTCCACAAGGCAGGCCCTGCATCTGGTGCTTTCCAAGTGCACTTCCCTAGGGCCCGGTATATAGAGCAAATCGCGTTGGGATGGTCGTGGCAACCTCCGATGATGGTAGAAGGAGAGGCGGTCTCTAAGATACAATGGACATCCCTGGCCATATAAAGTTTTAAAGGTCAGGACCAGCATCTTATACAAACCACGATACTCAGTTGGGAGCCAGTGTAGATGCCGCAGCACTGGTGTTCTATGGCATCTCATGGGCGTTCTTGTGAGTAGCCTGGCTGCAGCATTCTGGACAATACGGAGCTTTCGGGTCGTAGAAATAGGAAGGCCAACATACAAGGCATTACAATAGTCTAGCCTAGATGTGATCGTGGCATGGATGACTGTTGCCAGAGCCTCATCCGACAGGTAAGGTGCCAGTTGTCTCGCTTGTCATAGATGGAAAAAGGCCTGTTTGCTGGCAGCAGCGACCTGAGCCTCCATTGTCAGCTGCAAATCCAAAACGACACCTAGGCTCTTAACGATAGGCGATGGAGATAGAGCAGCGCCATCAAAGGTAGGTAACGGATGGGTCGGACCTATTGGGCGGCCATGCCACAGGATCTAGGTTGGATTACTGTAATGCGCTCTACGTGGGGCTGCCCTTGAAAACGGCTCGGAAATTCCAACTTGTCCAACGAGCAGCGGCCAGGATGTTAACTGGTGCTCCCTACAGAGAGAGGTCAACCCTCCTGTTGAAGGAGCTCCACTGGCTGCCATTTATCTTCCAAGCCCAATTTAAGGTGCAGGTGCTTACGGTTTGGGACCACCCTGGTGACCGCATCTCCGTCTACGAACCCACGCGTTCACTACGCTCATCTGGAGAGGCCCTGCTCGTGATCCCACCTGCATCGCAAGCACGTTTGGTGGGGACACGAGACAGGGCCTTTTCCATGGTGGCCCCCCCGTCTCTGGAACACTCTTCCCAAAGATCTTAGACAGGCCGCTACATTGGCAGTCTTCAGAAAGTACTTGAAGACCTGGCTGTTCCGATGTGCCTTTCCCGATTAGGAAATCTCCAATACCAAGTCCCAGAAGCACTTTATTGGAATTAAGATTGCCGCACACTGCACGCTGCACTTACCCTATAATCCTTACATATCACCTGTCACATCAGCACTTTTTAATCCTGTACCCTTTACTCTGGCCCGGCCTAGTTTTATCCTGTTTGATGTATTGTTTATTGCTTGTGGTTTTGTTGTTTTAATACTGCTTTAATTGTTTTAATTTGCTTTAGGTGTATTGTTATGTTGTGTATTGAGGCCTTGGCCTTTGTAAGCCGCATCGAGTCCTTCGGGAGATGCTAGTGGGGTACAAATCAAGTTTAATAATAATAATGTAATAATAATAACCTCAGTCTTTGCCGGATTCACCTTCAGTCTGCTAGCACGTAGCCAGTTCGACAAAGCCTCCAGGCATAAGGTGAAATTATCAGGTATTGACATTACTCCAAGCTCCAAGCGCAACAGGAGTTGGGTGTCGTCCGCATATTGATAGCAGTCCAGGCCGAATCTCCGAGCCAAACTGGCACTACACCTCCCAAGGGTTCTATATCAAAAAGCTGTACTTTTGCAAGGACTTCTCTGCTTAATCACACCAGGGACTCACCCCACTGCAACGGTGCAATGAAGGCACGCTTTGGCACCGCTTCGGATTGCAGTGGCTCCGTGCTGTGGGCTGCTGGGATCTGTAATTCGGCTCAGTCCTATGGCTCTCTGATAGGGGCCGATGCTGGGTGAGCCCCACTCAAACTTCCACAGCTCATTGCTATGGAATCCAGGGAGTTGTAGTTTGGTAGAGGAGGCGAAAGGCCTTGGAAATTGCACCTCCCAGGCTGCCATAGCACTGAGCGGTGGCAGAGGTGCAGTTTAGTTATCGACTTGCATGGGAGGCTGGGAGTTGTATTTTGGAGAGACACCCGCACTCTTGGGCATAGGAGGTGAAAGGCCTTGCAAAACTACAACGCCCAGGATGGTATTATTATTATTATTATTTGCCTTGGTTCAATGATAGATCAATGACATTACAGGTTCAGCCCCCATAGCCTTTCTCTTTGCTGCCCTCTGGTGGACATGGGAATATTGCACTTGCCTTCAGATTCTGATCTGCAGCCCTTTGCTGCCATCCAGTGGCCGGGTGGGGAAGTGCACCCTTGAGCCATAGAGGAGCCTCTGTGCTGCCACCATGTAGACCAGTGTTTCTCAACCTTCCTAATGCCTTATTCATCCAGTTCTTCATGTTCTGATGACCCCCAACCATAACATTAATGATGGATCTGGACCAAACTTGGCATGAATAATCAATATGCCCAAATGTGAACACTGGTGGAAATTGAGAAAAAATAGACCTTGACATTTCGGAGTTGTAGTTGCTGGGATTTATAGTTCACATACAATCAAACAGCATTCTGAACCCCACCAAGGATAGAATTGGGTGAAGCTTCCCACAGAGAAACCCCCCATGACTGTGTTTTCTGATGGTCTTTGGCAACCCCTCTGACATCCCCTCACAACCCCCCCCCAGGGGTCCCGATCCCCAGGTTGAGAAATGTTGATCTATAGTGTCTAATATATGAAACTACAACTCCCAGGATAATAGTATTATTATTCATTGGCATGGCCCAATTATAGGTCAATGATATTACAAGTTTAGCCCTCATGGCCATTCCCTTTGCTGCCCTCTGGTGGACATGAGAATATTGCACTTGTCTTGATATTCTGATCTGCAGCCCTTTGCTGCCACCAAGTGGCCAAGCGGGGAAGCTGCACATCTATGTTATATCCCTCTCCCCCCCCCCCCCCAAAGGAGGAGAGCAAGAAAAAATAATAAAGAAAGGAAGGAGGGGGAAAGAAATGAAGGAATGAATAATACAGAATTCAAGGAAGAAGGAAGGAAAGAACCCAAAAAGGAACAAGAGAAGGAATCATTTGTATAATTAGTATGTTTTGGTACAGAAGTGTCTCCTCTTGGAAGGAAGTATTTTGTTCTGTTAGCAAGCCAGAAGATCAATTGTCTTTGGCCCTATTGAAAACACATGTCATTGTCAGTAATTTCAGGAAAATGGAGCTTGACATGGCCAGACAGCCCGGAAAACTTACAACAACCCAATAATAATACTGATAATATCTTCTGGGAGTTGTAGTTTTGGGAGGCCTTTCCCCTCCTCTGCCAAAGACGGCAGATTGACATGACACCGCTGGGAGACGTCCTCCAGAGGCTTGGCGGGTGCTCTCGTTACGGAGATGACACACAAATCTCTTTCTACATGCCTTCAGAAACAGCCTCAGCTCAGGATGACGTGCCTCTGGATGAATGGATGACTGCCTGGAGGAGGCCAAGGGCTGCAAGAAGGAAGGAAGGAAAGAAGGAAGGAAGGATGGACATTTTACACAGCGCGTGTTTTAATCCGCATTTGTATACGGTCTTTCTCAGCCAGAGGCAACTCACACCAATGTTTTTTATAGCAAAGCAATTTATTGAGGATTAATATAGCAACAGCCAAAAAAGGTAAAAAGCATTCAAACAAGTAATAAAGAAATGTCCACAAAACAGTCAGTTGAGCAAAGTAAAATAAGACAGTCAATTATCAGTCAGGAACCAGGAGGGTTGCAAAAATCCAATCAACAAGTCCACAGGAGTTAGAGTCATTCAGTTCCAAAAGGTTGCAAAGACCAAAGTCCCTTGAAGAAACAGCAGCAAACTTGAACCATTACATCCCAATGCAGGAGCTTGTAACCAGGGCCAACCACATACAAGAATCTCAGCATGAACATGAATCTCGGGCAGAAGTAAACAGGAATCTTAGCATGAACAAGATGGCATGGATACCAGGCATGAAACAAATGGCATGGTTACACATGAAAACCAAACGTTGAACTCACTGAAGAGTATAGATTCACAGGCCCTATATTTATTCAGAAAGCCATAGCAAAATTATTCCGTTTCCCTTGGGAAACCTCTCCCTGACCCGTTTTTGCTCTTAAAGTTTTGGACCGTCTTCTACTCCCTTCCAGGTGGCGATGTTGATTGATTTGACTTTTTGACTCTTTGACTTTTCCCATCAAAGAGTGTCTGGTCCTCTCTCGGCTTGCCAATTAGTACATTCCTTTCACTATCACTATGCTTTCCTTAGCACACATCACAAAACCAACACACGCGTCCCTCCACACCCCAACCACCACCACCACACAACCCCCAATGCAAAATTAATGTGAAACCACAGAGTTCTGTATACTTACAGTTCTAGGATAAAAGCTATACCTCATGTCAAATGCCTCTCTCTATATTATTATCTATATATAAGTAAAAGACATCAACTAAAGCAATGTATGCCCTTCATTCAAAAAATTAAAAAATTAACCGGAAAGAACTTTAAACCCCAAAAACCTAAATGACTATACAGAGCATGTGTTAAAAGAACACCATCCCCAGCCCCTCTCTCCTGCACGAGGGGAAAAATACCAACAGCTGAGAGAGAGGCGGCTTGAGAGAGGGAGGGAAAGGTGGCCCATATATCCCTCTTGCTACCCCCTGCCCCTCTCTTCCCAAAGGATTCAGAGAGAGGGAGGGAGGGAGAGAGAGAGGACACCTTCCTCCAGATCCACCCCCTTCCTTTCCCTTGCCACTTCCGTTGTGTTTGGATAGCTTAGAAACCAGCTCTTCCTCTTTTCTTTCTTTCCCATTTCTCCAAAATGGGACACAGCAACACGTGGCTGGGTAAAGCTAGTATTATATGATATAGTATTATATTGAATATCTTATATGAGATTGTTTAACCTCTGATTTGCTAGTTCAACTGTGTCACAAAAGGATGCATGTCTAAAAAGTGTTCCACCAACATGAAAACTCTGGAAAGCTCTATCTGGGAAACTCTCTTTGGGGTCAAACACCACTGTTCTCTCCAGTGTGGATTCTATGTCTATGTAGATTTCTACTCTCAGAGAAGCTTTTCCCACACACTATGTGTTTATAGGGTTTCTCCCCAGTGTGAGTTCTTTGATGTGAATGTAGACCTGAGCTATGAATGAAGCTATTTCCACACTCCAAGCATATATGTTGCTCCCAAGTGTGAGTCCTTTGATGTCTATGCAGATTTCCATTCTCAGATAATCTTTTTAAACACAACTATGCATTTATAGGGTTTCTCCCAGTGTAAGTTCTTTGATGTGAACGTAAATATGAACAATGGGTGAAGCTCTGTCATCACTCATGGCATTTATAGGATTTTCCCTCAGTGTGAATCCTGAACTCTCAGTGCAGCTCTTTCCTCACTCCAAGCATGTATAGGGTTCCTCCCCAGTGACAATCCTTTGATGTGAACATAGACTTCCACTTTGAGAGAAGTTCTGTCCACAATCCAGGCATTTATGGGGTTTATCCCCCATGTGAACCCTTTGGTGTTTATGTAGGTTTGAACTCTGAGTGAAGCTCTTTCCACACTCCAGGCATGTATAGGGTTTCTCCCCAGTGTGAATCCTTCTATGTTTTTCTAGATCAGAAGACCTAGAGAAGCTCTTCTCACACTCCAGGCATGTATAGGGTTTTTCCCCAGTGTGAATCCTTTGATGTGAACGTAGACTTGCACTCATAGTGAAGCTCTTTCCGCACTCCAGGCATGTATAGGGTTTCTCCCCAGTGTGAGTCCTTTGATGTGAACATAGCTCTGCACTCTCAGCAAAGCTCTTTCCACACTCCAGGCATGTATAAGGTTTCTCCCCCGTGTGACTCCTTAGATGTGAACGTAGATTTGAACTCTCAGTGAAGCTCTTTCCACACTCCAGGCATGTATAGGGTTTTTCCCCCGTGTGAGTCCTTTGATGTGAATGTAGATTTGAACTCTGGGTGAAGCTCTTTCCACACTCCAGGCATGTATAGGGTTTCTCCCCCTTGTGAATCCTTTGATGTGAATGTAGATGTGAACTCTGAGTAAAGCTCTGCCCACACTCCAGGCATGTATAGAGTTTCTCCCTAGTGTGAACTCTTTGATGTGAACGTAGACTTCCACCCCTACTGAAGCTCTGCCCACACTCCAGGCATGTATGGGGTTTCCACCCCATGTGTATCATTTGATGTGAACGTAGACTTGAACTCTCGGAGAAGCTCTTTCCACACTCCAGGCATGTATAGGGTTTTTCCCCTGTGTGACTCCTTTGATGTGAAAGTAGATTTGAACTCTGAGTGAAACTCTTTCCACACTCCAGGCATGTGTAGGGTTTCTCCCCCTTGTGAATCCTTTGATGTTTATGTAAAGTTGAACTATGAGTGAAGCTCTGCCCACACTCCAGGCATGTATAGGGTTTCTCCCCAGTGTGAATCCTTTGATGTGAACGTAGATTTCCACTCCTACTGAAGCTCTGCCCACACTCCAGGCATGTATAGGGCTTTTCCCCAGTGTGAATCATTTGATGTCTACGTAGATCTGAACTCTCAGAGAAGCTCTGCCCACACTCTAGGCATTTATAGATTTTCTCCCCCGTGTGAGTCCTTTGATGTTGCTTGAAATAACTCCTCTGAGTGAAACTCTTCCCATATTCCAGGCATATGGACGCTTTCTCCTTCATGTCAGCCATGATATGGGTGTTTAATTGCAATACAGAAGCTTCAGTCATCTTTTTTCCTTCCTTATCTGTATGTGAGGTCAAGATTTCAGCAAGACCATCACCTAGATTATTGATTTCATTGCTGCATCCAAGGTGTGGCTCCATAGAATCTTCATTTACCTGGTTAAGAAAGAAGCAAAAGATCAAGGATGAAGGCGAGAAGCTTTCTTTACCCCCATGATTTCCCCCTTTCTCTTCATGGGTCAGGTTGAAAATGTAAATACCCAGGACATCAGAGTCTTCAGAGGTTTTGTTGGACAATGAAGCAAGTGGAGTGTCTCTATCCCTTTGGAATAATGTCCAGGGTGGGAGAAAGAACCCTTGTCTGCTTGAAGCAGGTGTGAATGGCCCAGCATTTCTGCATTTTCAGATAAGATTCTGTGTCCAGCACTCAGAAACAGGAGAACTCCAGACAGCAAGCAAACAGGTGCCAGTTAACACCACCTAAAAAGAGGGGCCTGCAGGAAACAGAGGCCAGGCCACCTCTCTGCAGATATCCTCACTTATTGACTCTGCAGACTTCATGGCTACTCCAATGCTAATTCAAACTTTCTAATTGCAACATTCACCCTTCCTTCAAGCAGACAAGGTTTCTTTATCCCACCCTGGATATTATTCCACAGGAATATATACACTACTCCACTTGCTTCACTGCCAAGAGAACCTCTGAAGGTACCATTAGCCACAGATGCAGGGGAAACATCAGGAGAGAATGCTGCTGGAACATGATTAGACAAGCCCAAAAATGTACAGCAACCCAGTGATTCTGGCCATGAAAGCCTTCAACAAGACATTATTAAAAACATGCCTCGTTCATAGATATTTATCCCCCAGCGGTCAGTTAAAGGTCTGCTAAAGAGTACAACAACTGCAAAAACTGTCAATGTAAGATGGATTGCTTTGCCAGAGAGTATATGCAAGATACTCCACTTTGGCAGGAAAAACGAAATGCAAAGATACAGAATGGAGGATGCCTGGCTCGAGAGCAGTACGTGTGAAAAAGATCTTGGAGTCCTCGTGGACAACAAAGTTAAACATGAGCCAACAATGTGATGTGGCGGCAAAAAAAGCCAATGGGATTTTGGCTGCATCAATAGGAGCATAGTGTCTAGATCTAAGGAAGTAATGCTACCCCTCTATTCTGCTTTGGTTAGACCACACCTGGAATATTGTGTCCAATTCTGGGCACCACAATTGAAGAGAGATATTGACAAGCTGGAATGTGTCCAGAGGAGGGCGACTAAAATGATCAAGGGTCTGGAGAACAAGCCCTATGAGGAGCAGCTTAAAGAGCTGGGCATGTTTAGCCTGAAGAAGAAGGCTGAGAGGAGATATGATAGCCATGTATAAATATGTGAGAGGAAGCCACAGGGAGGAGGGAGCAAGCTTGTTTTCTGCTTCCCTGGAGACTAGGACGCGGAACAATGGCTTCAAACTACAAGAGAGGAGATTCCATCTGAACATGAGGAAGAACTTCCTGACTGTGAGAGTCGTTCAGCAGTGGAACTCTCTGCCCCGGAGTGTGGTGGAGGCTCCTTCTTTGGAAGCTTTTAAACAGAGGCTGGATGGCCATCTGTCAGGGGTGATTTGAATGCAATATTCCTGCTTCTTGGCAGGGGGTTTGACTGGATGGCCCATGAGGTCTCTTCCAACTCTTTGATTCTATGATTCTATATTGACACTGAAAGGGTTAAACAGTCAAGCCTTTAATGAACTGTGAAGATGTGACCCTGAGTTTGCCTTGAACGAGTAGGGAGGATCCAGAGATAAGGTTCTGTTCGTCCTTCTTACTTCGGTGTGCATTTTGCCTTGTTCCTGTCTGTTTGGTTGGATGTAAATGCGAATGTGTGCTGTATATTTGATCTACTCAGTAAAGCTAAATGTTTGCTTTTACTGAAGTCTCAGTGTCCATTCTTCCAAGCTTCAAAGCTTCTGTCGCACTCTGACAAAGGGTTATGGGACCTGATTTGCAGCTACAACTGGAGCTGTAGTTTGGACTGGAGACTGGAGCCTGCTTCTACGGAGAACCAGCATGTGTCTTCGGAAGAAGGCTAATTCCAGGAGAAAGCAGAGCTGTGAGCGGGGCGTGCTGGACCCAGTTTGATGGTCAGATGCGTGAAGCAGTAAAGCCATAAAGCTGGTAAGCAGAGGGGAGACTGCCAGATGCCACTGAAGGTGTGTTCATGAGTCAGCGGCTGGGCTTAACTTCGGAGTGCGAGGGTCTCCTGGAGGTGAGAATGGCTGCTTCAAATCCTTTGACTGTAACTGAGAAGCTGAATGACCATAATTACAAACAGTGGTCTGTGTTCATGCAGCATTTGCTGGCAAGAGATGGATTACAAAAGACTATTTTGGGAACGGAAGTGGATCAAGACAAGAATCAGAGGGGGTTATCAAGCCAGATTCTTTGTTTGATGCCAGACCAATTGGTTCATGTACAGAATTTGCATACTGCTCAAGAAGTCTGGGAAGCTCTTTGTAATGTTCATCAGCGAGAGAGCACACTTGGTAAAGTGATTTGGACCAAAAGATTGTACAGAGCTAAATTAGATGAAGGAGAAGATGTGAGAATACATGTTAAGAGAATGAAAGAACTATTTATGGAGTGCCAAACTAGAGGTGTCCAGATTAGCGGTGAACATCAAGCTTATATTATGATGTCTTCTTTGACGAAAGAATGGGACCATTTATTGTATTCTTTGCAAGCTGTGCGAGCTCAAGACTTCACATTGGATCTCGTTTGTTCCAGGATTCTGGAGGAGGAAGACAGATGCTTGTTTGAAAGAGAGCAGCATGGAGGCTGCAAGTATGAAGGGGAGTCGCCACAGACAGAGCTGAAGAAGGAGCTTGTTCTTGCAAGTGTCCGTGTTTCAGCTGCGAGGAGATGCTATTCTTGCAACAAGCCTGGACATCTGGCCAGAGATTGCAGAGTCAAGAAAAGTCAACCCAGAGGGAGCTACGCCAGAGGGGGCTTCAACAGAGGAAGAGGCCGTGGTGGTGAATCATCAAACTTTCCTGGAGCCAGAGTAATGATGGCAGCCACAGGAGGTGCTATAGACAATGCTCTAAGTGAAGATGATACTGAAAGTGACATGAACTGTGCAGAATATGTGAAAAAGGACTTAAATGTACTTTTACATGACTCATGTGCACATTTTTTTCACAGGGTAATGGGACATGTAAGCTTTCGTGGTCTGGAGAAATTAGCTAATGTATGTCCTGAGTTAAAGATGCTGAAGTGTGATAACTATTTGGACTGTGCGGTGTGTAAGCAAGCGAAGGTCAAAGCATATCCTGTGGTAAAAAGAAGTAAGATGAAGGCTAGTAGGCCTTTTGAGGTTGTTCATGCTGACTTGGCAGGGTCTTTTCCAGAAAGTGAAGGGGGAGCCAAGTATTTCTTTGGCATAGTAGATAGATTCACCAGATATGGGTTTGTGTACAATTTGAAAAATAAAAGTGATGCTTTCTTAATGTTCAAACAATGGGTGCAGATGGTTGAGAGGACTTTTCCTCACAAAGTGGCTTCTTTGGTCACGGATAGAGGTGGGGAGTTTTGTGGCAATGATTTTCAAAATTGTCTTGCAGAGACTGGCATCCAACATAAGACCACCAACCCATATACTCCAGCGGAAAGCGGACTAGCCGGAAGACGTATAGGCATAATTAAGAACATGAAGGAGTGCATGTTTAAAGATGCTGAGGCACCCAGTAATCCATGGGGAGAAGCCATCCATACTGCTAATTATGTATTAAATAGAGTGTGGTGTTCAGCAATAGAACAGACCCCATTCTTTGCCTCGTATGGTAGGCCACACAATCTAAAGGATTTTTGAGCAATTTGCATATGTACTAATTCCAGCCCAACAGAGAAGGAAGGGTCAACAAAAATGTCAGAAGTTGCGTTTTACTGGGTATGAAGGAAATAAATATCGTTTTTACGCAGGGAATGGAAGAATAAGCCTTTCCAGGAGTGCTAATTTTGAAACGCATAGTGGATGGGAAAGGATACACTGTGATAAAGAAGTGTTTATTCAATTTGGTCAAAAAGATGAGGAAACTAGAGATACAAGTGTGAATGTTGAAGAAGAGGATTCATTATTGGATAGTGAGGAAGTGTCAAATGTTCCTTCATCATGTTCTAGACTTAGGGATAAAAAGAAGAAAGGGAGACCTGAATCTAGTGATGAAGAAACTAGTGGTGCTGAGAGCATAGTTTTGAAAAGGAGGAGAAGGGTTAGAAAGCCACCAGATCGATATGGCGAGCCTGTGCTTTATCAGGCTACAGGAAATTTGTTACTAGATGAGGAGCCTGAATGTTACAAACAAGCTATTGAAAGCGTTGATGCAGAGGAATGGCAAGCAGCTATGGACAATGAATATAATTCCATGATGCAACAACACGTGTTTGAAATTGTAGATAGACCTAAGGATCAAAAGGTAGTGGATTGTAGATGGGTTTACAAAAGGAAGGTGCTTGCTGATGGTAGTCAGAAATATAAAGACAGGTTAGTTGCCAAAGGATTCACACAAGTAAAGTTTGAAAATTATGATAAAACTTTTGCTCCCACTGCAAGGCCAGAAAGCCTAAGATTAATGTTAACACTGGCAGCTAAAAAGACAATTAGACATTAGACATTTTGATTTCGAAACCGCTTATCTCAATGCGAATTTAAAAAAAAAACATTTATATGGAGCAAGCACCAGGTTTTAGATCTAGAGCTGAGATTAAAGTCTGCCTTCTTCATAAAGCCATTTATGGTTTATGACAGTCAGCTCGGTGCTGGAATCTATGTGTACATGAAGAACTGTGTCGTCTTGGATTCAAAAGAAGCATCGCTGGTACATGTGTACATAGTAGGGGTGTTAATGATGAATGGATTGATCTTCTGCTTTACGTAGATGATGTCTGTCTCCTAGCTAAAGGTTTTGATAGAATCATAGAATCAAAGAGTTGGAAGAGACCTCATGGGCCATCCAGTCCAACCCCCTACCAAGAAGTAGGAATATTGCATTCAAATCACCCCTGACAGATGGCCATCCAGCCTCTGTTTAAAAGCTTCCAAAGAAGGAGCCTCCACCACACTCCGGGGCAGAGAGTTCCACTGCTGAACGGCTATCACAGTCAGGAAGATCTTCCTCATGTTCAGATGGAATCTCCTTTCTTATAGTTTGAAGCCATTGCTCTGCGTCCTAGTCTCCAGGGAAGCAGTAAACAAGCTTTCTCCCTCCTCCCCGTGACTTCCTCTCACATATTTATACATGGCTATCATATCTCCTCTCAGCCTTCTCTTCTGAAGGCTAAACATGTCCAGCTCCTTAAGCTGCTCCTCATAGGGCTTGTTCTCTAGAACCTTGATCATTTTAGTCGCCCTCCTCTGGACACATTCCAGCTTGTCAATATCTCTCTTGAATTGTGGTGCCCAGAATTGGACACAATATTCCAGGTGTGGTCTAACCAAAGCAGAATAGAGGGGTAGCATGACTTCTCTAGATCTAGACCAGGGGTCCTCAAAGTTTTTAAACCGGGGGCCAGTTCACTGTCCCTCAGACCGTGGAGGGTCGGACAATAGTTTTTTTTAAAAAAAAAT